GCTAGCTTTCCTCTTCATTAAAAAACTCTCACTGTCACACACAATGCATTAATATCTTCTCTTATTTATTTATTTATTTATTTATTTATTATTATTATTATTATTATTATTATTATTATTATTATTATTATTTAGTTTATAGAGTTTACCTAGCTAACTAAACCTTGAGGGGACGTTTGACAAGGGAAAGGACGAAAGGTATTTCTTTTATGATATTATAATTCTTAAAAATAATAAATTCTAAAAATTATGATTTTTAAAGATAATTAAAATATTTTTAGGTACTCATAAAAGTTATTAAAAATATCTATACATCATTTTGAGAATTAAAGATTTTTATGTTTAATTATAATAATACATTTATGGATTTATAAGTATTTTTCACAAAAAATATTTTTTATTAAAATAAACTTATTATATATATATATATACTTAAATCTTATTATAAATATGACATTAAATTATTTTAAAAAAATTAAAAATTAAAAATTTATTTAAATATTGAATTCAACAAAAAAAAATATTAACAAATACTATTAAAATATAAAAATAAAATAATTTTAATAATATTATTAAAATTAATAAGATCAATAAATAACGAGATACAAAAAAGGAAGAGAAATAAGAATATGGGAGGGAGAGAAAAGAGAGGAAGGGAGTAAGAGTGAGAGAGAATATAGAAAAGATATTATGATCTTTTATATATGAATTAATCACCTATACACCGCTAATGTAAAGTTTTTTACACTAGCAGTCAATCAAAGCTATTAATAGTGTCTTTTTTATTTTAATTTAATTAAATGAGCAGATGAAAATGCACTATTAACGACTCTGACTGACTGCAGTAGAAAAAAGTTTTACACTGTCAATGTATAGATGATTAAATCTTTATATATATAAAACTTTCCTTTTAACTTGAAAAAATTAGATTCTCACTCTCTTATGATAATGTTTTTATAGAAAAGTAGGATAAAAATAATTTTTAAAAATATATTCCTAAGCATTTCTTTCTCTCTCTCTCTTTTAAAATAACTACTAAACATAAAAAACTAATATTTTTGCTTTAAGATTCTTAAGAATATAAAAATATTTTGTTTACTAAACATCCTAATTGTTTTATATTGTACGAAAATATTTTTATAGACTACTCTTTGATGGGAGCATTTTTAAGATTTTTTTTTAATTTTTTAATCAATTCAATTTTTTTTATTTATCATATTTGTTTATGAATTAAAATATTAATATTTTTAAAAAAAATTATCAATAGTTAAAAATAATATTGTAACACAATATAAATTATTTATTTTAAATTGCAAATATAATTTATAAACTTTAAAATATCTACTTATACAAATTTTAAATATAATTTTATATTCAAATATAGTATTCATATAATTTAGTTATATATATAAAATATTTAACTTATAAAACACACATCAAAATACTAGTGTAGACAAAAAAGAAATAAATTCCAACTCAATAACTAAAATAAATGAACTTTAAATACATTATTATTTTTAATCACAATTAAATCCTTGATCACATCGATCAATGCTTATAAAAGCAGAAGTTCAAAAAAAGAAATAATAAAGAAAGAAAAACACAAATTCTGGACTAATTTTGGCGAAGACTATGGCCAAAATTGTTTGTTTTAGCTATGCCTTTCTTTTCATCCTCGCCGTTGTTTCTGTGATCGAAGTTGTCTGGGTCAGTTTCCATCTTTTTTTTTTTGTATAGATTTCCTTATGCTTTTCTACGTCACAGAAAATTATATATTTCTCGCTTCTTATAACTTACTTTTCTTTATTTTCTTCGCATCTTAATTTTTTTACATATATCTTTTTTAATATGTTACTTACCATATACATCCCTACGACACAAGTGAAAATAATTGCTAATTTAAAAATTTAAAAATTATTTTTAGTGTGAGTTGAAGATTTCATATCATTTAAGTATATATTTAATTTTTTTAGTTATTTATTGTTTGCACAGGCTGGTGGGGAAGGATCACTTAGTCTCGAAGGTACTAGTTCAAAGCTTGTTTAAATTTGAAGTTTTTATGGCAGAATTAGAGATGAAATGAAGGAGGAAAAAGATTAATGTTACAACTAATTAAAATCTTTATTAATTACATTATGCAGAGTGTGGATTTGCATGTGCGGATGTGCCCAACGTTGCTCAAAGACTCACCACAAGAAGCCATGTTTGTTCTACTGCAGCAAGTGTTGTAAGACATGTTTGTGTGTCCCATCAGGAACCTTTGGCCACAAAGATGAATGTCCATGCTATAACAATTGGAAAACCAAGAAAGGAACACCCAAGTGCCCTTAATTTAATTAAGATCCTTCGATACCGTACAAGCATGTTGCTTTGATCCATGTATTTCTCTCATTTCTATATCTAAGATTTTACTATTGCCTTAACGGCCTCATATCATGTTGAGTTACTATTACTAAATATTGATGTGACTATTTATATTAGGCATCAAAACGGGGCGGAGCGGGGTGGGTTTTATGTTCCTGCCCCGGTCCGTAGATTTAAACCATTCCCGTCCTTACCTATAATACTTGTTAGGGATAAAATTTGGGCACTCATTTTCATTTTCGGTGAGATTTGAGTTTCCTGTCTCGCTCCCGTCCCGTCCTCGTTCCCACCTTTTTTTTTCTTTGTTCTTTTAAATAAATACGAATAAATTTAAAAAAAAATAAGAAAAAAAATAATACAAATTTTTACATATAAATATTTCTATTTTTGGTTTATATATATATAAAAATATTTTTTTAATCCGCCCCTAATCTTATCAATTAGGAAAAACTTGAACTTGAACCAGATAAATAAGAGTCATTCCCGTCCAAATCAGGACGGGTTCAGGCAAGTACCCACGGGACGGGTTAGATTGTCATGCCTAATTCATATAGAGAATAAAAATAAGACCTTATAACTCCAAAAACATGTATGAGTTATTGTTAATATGTATTATCAAAGATAATTGAAAAGTTCTTGTGACGATGAATAGAGATTAATAAAAGAATTAAACACATAAAGCGCTCTTAATTGTACACACTTAAAATATAATAATTATTTTAATAATTTTTTTCAGATCCTGATAAAATAAATCAAATTATTTCCAAAAAGAATTAAATTAAAATAAATTCAAGAGTACTATGGCATATATTACTCCCAATCAGCATCGCCCTTAATTGCATACACTCATTATTTTACTTGCCAAGATATGTAGCCCACGAAAGTTCTATAATTTAGCTACTAAGGGCTTGGGATAATAGAATGGCCGAAAGTAGCATCTTCTTTGTTTCTTTGAGTTTTTTTTTTTTTTACTTAAACTTTTTGTAAGTTATGGTAGTATGTTCTTTCATAAATATATCTTGTATTTTTATAGTAAATAAAAAAAATTGATAGACATGTGATTTTCATTGATTTTCATTTTAAAACATTTTTAATGTAGTTTTAAAAAATGTTTTAGAAAAAGGAGGATTCAAATAACATGAGTGTAACTTTTACCAAATATTACATTGTTCAATAACTTTATATTAAATGTATATTTTGTCGATTCAATTGTCGAATTATAACTTTATATCATCTTGTATGTTTATATCAAATTTTGTTAAAATTAAACAACAATTTGAAGATAATCAAAGTATTCACATTTTAGTATATTTTGAAGTGTATATATTACATCAGTTTTGTATTATAAGAATGATGTTTAAAACCCCGATCTTAAAAGCTATTTTTGCACTAGTGTTTGATAAAAAATATAGTTATTTATTATAAATTTAAAATATATTTTATATATTTAAAAGTATTGTTTATTTATTAAAATATCTATTCACATGTTTAAATAATATTTGAAATAAATCTCATTTTGTCATTGTGTAACGATTCTTTCATCATCACATTAAACATAATCACTATTATTAACAACAAAATTAACCTACTATAACATTTAAGATTAAATGATAAAACATGTTATGCATATATATAGTACATGAATATAAAAGTAAAACACCTGTATTAATATTGACAATTTACATATACGTGTATACAATAATCTCAAAATAATCCTATGTTTCAATGTCGGTCGAATAAAATTATACAAGTTACAGGCAGTAACACTACCTCCAACAAAAATATCACACCACTTGCTTGTAGCATCTTCTCAAACTTGTCTTGATTTACTCCCATACAAATTATAATTATCACAGTTCAAACCACAATGGAAACATAATGATAAGTTAGAGTTCAAAAACATGTAAGTATAAAAAACAATTATATAACATACAACATCACACCACAACGATACATGAAAGTTAAAACACTCCAAAGCAAACATGTATCTCATCTAAAACCATGTCATGCAAGACATTCAACAATGCATATGAACACAACATAACATACATCATATGCAAATGCCTCAATCAATGCGTCGTCATGCACTCACTTATGAAGATTTCCTAGCAACTGAGTAGTCTAAGTAACTTTACCCTACCAAATCAACCTAATTTTTTTCACACCCAATGTGTTAGTTCTATCACAATAAAATGGGATACCAATGTGTCCTCTGATTTCTCAGATATTGTCACTTACACTAGGAAAGTTCGATTTCACTATTAGGAATGGTACAATTGAGTATAGGTTTTCCACAATCTTGACATGTATTATCAAGTCACATGTGGAGTTAGCCCATTGACCATCCTCAAGGAATCAGACAGTCTTTCCAGGTACTTGGTTAAGGGTTATAACCCTTAACCTCTTATCTTATTCAACCATTAACTAAGAACCTGGAGAAGACTCAACACACCTCAAAAACCCACTCCAATATACACACCTACTAAATGAGGGTTTCCCAATAGTAGCCTACCCAAGCACCACTCCAAAGATACCCTATGTGGGATTTTCAATTTTCAAAATATTTCTCTCTCTTAAAGTCTAAGTTAGCCAACATGATTTAATGTCATATCACATTCTCAATATCTACACCTTACCATACATCTACTATATACATCACATTCATTCAATGCATATAGAGATCAACAACATCATCCATACAGGACATATCAGTGCTCTCCAAAATCATACATCATACATATGTACAACATACATATACTCGTCATCATCCAACACCATATAAACATTTATATATGTCATATCCAATCAACATATGCAAAATCATCATCATATACCATACAATATGCAATATAACTTAAAACATTTATTCATGCTCATCATACAACATGTATAAACATACAATGACAACTTTCACATAAAACAATACATATGGGGTTACTCCAATCAAACTCGTCTTTATCTCATATAAAAGCTAACAAGGTTATCTACAACTCTTTTATATTAATTAATAGACCACGTATAAATAGATTTCTAGTATTTTAAAATTGAAATATTAATCTTATCTTATTCTTAATTAATCTTATCTTATTCTTATATAATAGAATAAATAAAAATAATAGAATATAATACGAATAGAGTATTCAAATTGAAAATTTAAATTTTTTATAGTTTATTCGATTTATTTTATTATTTAAATTTTATTGTTTTTTTTAGTTTTACAATATACCATCATATAAGTATAAGATATGAAAACCTCAAGTTGAAACTCCATCATTTATTATACTGAAAATCACAAAAATCACAATAATTTGCCTAAATGCAAACAACTTGACATTTGCTCACAAAAAATGTCAAAACTAGTTATAGACCTCCTTTTTAGGTGATTTCAAAGCCATCGGAAAGATAACATCCAAGACTACAAATTTTTTATGAAAATCATAAAAGCAAATTCAATCATCTACTTACTTAAACGAGTCAATCTCTCACTTAAGTGAGGTCAACTCATTCAGAGCGACCATCAACTCACTCAAAGTAATCAACATCTTGTTTTAAGTGACTAATAACTCGCTCGGAGCAACCAAAACTGGCTCTGAGCGACCTAAGGCAGAGAACATCTCTGAATAATCACCTAGGCTTGCTTGGAGTGACCCCCATGGGCCGTCTAAACAACCAAACCCAAAAACATGCAAATTTGAAGCTCAAGAACACCAATCTAGCAAAACACTTCAATAATCCAAAAATCCATTCAATCCCTACATCAATTCATGCATGCATCTCAATCACTCATACGTGCACCTTTCCAACAACTCATTTTACCCAAAAAAACACAAAAAGCAACTACGAAATTTGTCAAGATCATTAAAATCATCTCAACCACCTCAAGAACAACCAAAACCCCACCACTTAACGTTTAAATTTGTAAATCCATCGATTCATGCAACAAATGATAATCTCATTTTTATACAATACAATAATTCAATCAACCATTCATCCTAACTTCCCTTACCGTAGAACTATAGCCACCTCGAATGAAGAGAAAAGGGAGAAGGAAGCAGAAGCAACCCCAAGAAGCTCTACATTCACACAATCATCAACTCCAGCAACTTCGAATCACCACCTAAAGGATCAAAAAGACCTCTCACACCTTTGGAAAATCTAGAAGAAGGAAGAAGAAATGAGAAATCTCCAAAGCCTAGTTATCTTGTTTATCTCTTTATAATCTTGGAGAAGGAACTTATGAAGCTTGTTATAAAAAAACTATTTACACCTTTCTTTCTCAAGTTTAACTAGACCTCTAACTAGAGGTCTTTCGCTTTCAATGTCACTCCACAACCCTTAAGTACCTAAAAATCAATTGATTAACTTACAGTGTCACACACCAGATACTCCATCATTAAAACAAATTTTACATATTATTATTCTTGATTCTTGATTTTTGATATTAAAATTAACTTAAAATACCTTTTTTAACCCTTATATAATTTCACTTAACTTTTTTGTTTTTATAAAATTAAAATATATTTTTTTTAGTTAATGTACTTAAATCCTTAAGATAGATTTTTTAAGTCTTAATAATTGCATTATATATATTTTTTTAATTTCTATTCTTAATTTTTTTAACACCGTCTCCTTTTTTTTTTTAATCTTAATTAATATGATAGACATATCAATTTAATATTGAATGTCTAATGTTAAATTTATCTTGCTAGAATTATTTAAAATCAAGTTTCTCAACGTTTTATCACTTTTTTTTTTCCCTTCTTACTCATGACATCCATTGTTAAAATCATTTTTTTACCTTTACAAAATTAAAAACATATATTATGTCCACACAAAATAAATAACATTTTAAAAAATTAATAATATAGATTAAAAAAAAATGCAATTGAAACAAAAATCTATTTTGAATTGCAGGAACTAAGAAGGATGAAAACATAAATATAAAAATTAAAAATACCTATTTATACCTATTTATTTCCTATTATAAAAAGAATATCAAGTTTGTAATTATTTTTATCTGTATTTTCAGTGAACCATTGCACTCTTGAATGTTAAAAAATAACTTCTCATATTTTTTTTAAGTTAATCATCTATATACTGTCAATATAAAGTTTTTTACACCGGGAACCAATGAGATCTTTTAAAGTTATTTATTTTATTTAATGACATAATAATAAAATAAACAACTTTAAAAATCTCATTATTTATCAATTTAAAATTTTTTTATACTAGCAGTATATAGGTGATTATTTTTATTTTTATAAATAATCATCTCTCTATATTTATACATATTATAAAGTGATAAATTTTAATAATCACCTTTTAGTTTTTATTTTTAATAAATAATTATACTCTTAAAATATAAAAAGATTTTTTAAAAAATATTTTTTTAAATAATTATCTATAATTTTTAATATTTATTTATGTATATATTAGAGGGACAGAGTTACTCAAATTCTCAATGTGAATAATTGTTAGAGGAACCATGTAATTTTAAATTATTGCGACTACAAAAGTAAAATTATAGCGGTGATGTTGGCATCTCCAATTTCTTGTACTCGGAGAAAGCGAGCAGTGGTGACTCACAGGTGTAGATTGGTCAAAATATAACTAATCCGCTTCGGTGAAAATCGCGAGCGCATTGCATTTGCATTTGCATCAATGGCGGGCGTTTCTCTCAAGTGCGGAGACTGTGGGGCTCTGTTGAGGACCGTAGAAGAAGCCCAAGAGCACGCCGAACTCACTTCCCACTCCAACTTCTCCGAATGCACTGAACCCGTTCTCAACCTCGTTTGCACCGCTTGCTCCAAACCCTGCCGATCCAAAACCGTTAGTCCAATCAACACTTTCCGATTATCGTTTTAGGGTTCCACATCGCTATTAGTTATCTGTTTATTTATTTTTCATATGCATTAACTGAATCCGTTACTGTTGCTTGCAATTGGATCGCGCAGGAGAGCGATTTGCACACCAAGAGAACCGGCCACACTGAATTTGTCGATAGGACTTCCGAGGCGGTGAAGCCGATTAGTTTGGAGGCTCCGAAGGTCGATGCGACTTATTCGTCGGAAAACCCTTCCGCTGCTGCGTCTACTGACCAGAATGAAGGTAGTTTTTATTATTAAGCTGAGTTAATTAAGGTGTGATAATCTTAATTTGAAATTGTGAAGATGTCTGATAAATAATGAATTAATGACCAGTGATTTCCGTGGTTTTATGGAATGAAATTTTGCTAATGAATGATGGCATCCGATGTTTTTATTAGATGTGCACGTTGATTTGGATAGAGAAAAGAGAGAGATGAAACTTACATTGATCTGAATTGATGAATGTGCAAAATTAAATATACGTTATTCTTACAGGATGCAGATAGCATATACAGTGCTTAGCTTCGGCTAACTAGTTCTCCGAGATGTAACTACTCGTAAATAGTAATAGTTTGGTTTATAAGCTCAGTGGTGGATGGTGATGTGATTTTGGTTTGTATCTTTGCCTGATTGTGAGTTGTATTGTGTAATGCAGAAATGGTTGTTCCTGAAGTGGACAAAAAGCTGCTCGAGGAACTTGAAACCATGGGATTTTCAACTGCAAGGGCAACGCGGGCGCTTCATTACTCTGGTGAATTTACATGCAGTTCATATTCTTCAGATATCAACCTTAGTTGTTTAGTATTGTTATGGGTTCAAGATTGTAATCTTCTCTCACTTCTGGATATTAAACTTAGGTTCTTCCATTCTACAGGTAATGCTGGCCTTGAGGCTGCTGTAAGTTGGATAGTAGAGCATGAGAATGACCCTGACATAGATCAGATGCCCTTGGTAATATTTTTATTTTTAATGTGGTTTATTGTCATTGTGTTCTTAACTGCTTATTGCTTCTTAAGTAATAGATTTGATGCTGCAAACTTCAACAAAATTAAGACTAATTCATGTTGTGATAAATGTCAAAATGTGTTCAGTCATTCAGTGTAATTAAGTTGCAACCTCTAGTTTCTGACCTGCTGAATAATGATTCCCTCAGGTGCCTGCCAACACCAAAATTGAGGCTGCTAAACCTTCTCTTACCCCAGAAGAACTGAAGGCCAAACAACAGGAACTAAGGTATGAAACAGAATTCTGATAAGATTTACACTAAAGGGCGAAGTTATGGGGAACAGACTAAAAAATAATTTTAGCTATTTATTGATTCATTTGATGGAAGTAATGTATGATGATGGCAGAGGGTAATCCGTAATCCCTAATTGGCTTTTACCTGACCTCTGAGGAGGTGTTTGTTACAAGGATTGTTTTTACTTTTTTAGGAATTTGAGATTAGGAAAGTTAGTTTCTCACGTTTGATTTGTTAGTTAAAACTTAAAACATTCTTAGGAGACATTATTTCCGGGGAATTTTTTTTACTTATGTTTCCCATGAAGTCATTCACATGGGAATAGGTGAGAATCTTACATTCTTGAGTTAAATGAAAATTCTTATTCTATTAAAAACGTCAGATTATCTTTATTTGTTTATTTAATATAGTAAAAATATTTGAAAATTGTCATGTTACCTTTATTTGTTTATGTAATACAATTATACAGTAAAGTTTTTTTGATTCCTTGGTAACATTTATAAATATTTCTAAAAAAATTTATGACCAATCAAATGGGTTTTAGTCATTCCTGTGAACCAAAAGAATTTTAATCATGATTCTTGGGTATGAAAAAATTTCCTGGGAAGGAACCAAACTCCCCCTTAAGGAAACAGTTGTTGCATTCTGGTATTTTCTTAAGTAGCATAGGCAGACTAAGTGAACACCTAATATCAATGTATACTGCACCAGTGCATCCTGATTTATATAGGTAGCCTTGAAGTAGTTAATTATTAGAAATTCATCTGCAGAATGCAATGTCCTCTATCATTGCATGCCGGTTATAAACATGCCATTAATATGCCACAGTATTAATGTTAGTCAATTTCGTGTCAAAGTAATGTGTTCTGGCCTTCTGAGTATTCTGGACTTTTGTTCAATTCATATAGTCATATATTGATGTTTGATATTATGTAGTTTTAAGTTTTAACACATGCTTACATGTGTCCAGAACTATAGTTTACTCGTGGTTACTTTGTAAGCCTATTTATTATTACTGGTATATCTGTATTCTGTGTAATCATTTTATTTTTAAACTATAATCTCAAGGGAGAGAGCTCGCAAGAAGAAAGAAGAGGAAGAAAAGAGAACGGAAAGAGAAAGAGAAAAGGTATTTTGCTGATTCACCATTTGCTTTTCGCTTATTTATCGGGACTTTCACTACTGGCATATTTGTATTTAAATTTTTTACCTTATGGGATATATGAGGATGCGTTGTTAGGGATGTATTTAAAAGGTATGTAGACTTTGTTAGGGATGTAAAACCAACCATGGGTCTCCATGCAATATTTTTAGCTTTTGGCGCATTGGGAGAGTTGGTACTTGACATGGTATATGACTCTATGACCCATTGGTCAAGGAAGGGCTCAATATATGTTGTCTTGCCTCACCTGGTCAAAGGTTGAATTTCAGCACAAGGTAGACTGGTAGAGTGGGCTTGTTAATGACATTGCAAACTCGAATGACTCTTCTGAGATGCATGTTAGAGATATAAAATCATTTATGATCCTCCACTTAAGAGCTTAAGCATTTTGGCTTGCGTGAGTTGTTTCACAACTCATGTAGTATTGCTTAAAAGATCAATAACTTGTTTTTTCAATTACTCAATTATTGTTTCCATTATATCAAAGTCTTATGCAGTAAACAGATTGTTGTTCCTGTCATATTGGTAAACTTTAGGTTGATTAAAAGTAATGAATTACCTCATCTGTATATCAGTATATTCTTGAATCGATGTTTACATTACTGAATAAATATAATTTTCTAGACTATTAATAGTATTTTTTTAAAAGTGTTATTATTTTCTGGTTTTGTATACAAGGTGGTTTGAGGGTTTCGGTAATAGTTTTATGACCCTTTGTTTTAATTTTGGTAAAGATCAAATGTGTCCATGCACAGTAAATGAGACACTTTTGGAAGATGCCCAACACCAGTTGAGGTTGGTAGAAGTGTGACCTAAGCAGTTTCAGTCTTATTATTGATGTATAAGGCCTTTGTTTTTTAAGTTGCAAGTTGTAACTTAACTATTCAAAGCAGTTTTAGTGGATCTAGTATGCATTCCCCTCAATTTATATTTATCTTTTCCTATTAACTTTCTTCACATCTCCTTGGCTCAAACCAAGATTTTCATCATAACTAATTTGTGGGTGAACGTGAATCATTCAAAGTCCAATTTTAACTCATTATTCCCACTTTGTACAATAACAAATTTTATTTCTCTCACCCATTTATGTGTCTGTTAAGGTTTGATGAATTCACTGGTTTTGGCACTCAGTTTATATAGTCAATATTGAAAAAAAATCCAAGTTCCATATCGACTAGCAATAAAATGAAAGTAGTGTAAATAAGTGGAGGGCAACCCTTGTTGTACAAGTCAGTTTTGTGTAGTTAAGTCCAAAATTGGCTTAAAATGTTATTGGACATCTTTTTGTACTAATTTTTAAGCTCTTATACAGTCTAGTTATTCCTGTAGATGTGTGTGTGTGTGTGTTTTCATTGAATGAATTTCAAGCTGGCAAGTATCTGTAATGTGTCATATTCCAAAATAGCAGTATGTCTTTAGTTATCTTGAAAAATCTGAAGTGAATTTGTGTTATGTATACTACATGTTCTTAGATTGGACCAGTTTATGAGATTGTGATGTAGCATTTCTAGATACATTTGTCCATGTTTGTTAGAGCCTGTTTTGTTCTGTGTTGGAACCACATCTTCTATTTCATTTTTGCATGTTTGACGTGAATTTTAGAAGCTACAAAGAGTAGCTTTGGGTCGGATATGACATGGCATCAACTATACGTGCATCCTTAAATTTTAACCAAACACGCACTTGATTACTTTGGATCTTCATTTTCTTGTCTGTCATATGTTTTTATGCAGGAGAGAATTCGTATTGGCAAGGAGTTGCTGGAAGCAAAGAGGATTGAAGAAGAGAATGAAAGGAAACGGTCTGGCTGACCTAGTAAATTTATTGTCTCACATCCTGTGCTTTGTTTTGAATGCACTCAGCTACAAGAAATATCTGCTTCCTCTTGCAGGGTGTTGGCCTTGAGAAAAGCAGAGAAAGAGGAAGAGAGAAGGGCTAGGGAGAAAATCAAGCAAAAGTTGGAAGAAGACAAGGTTTCAAAATTTCCTAACCATTTGGTTCTTTCTCTTGTTCTTTTATTGAGCCTCTGTTCTTATCTGACTCTGAAGTCAGATCATATGAACTGTCTTTAATTAGAATATGCATGCCAAATATGAAGTCCAATATTTAAATTTGTTTCCCTGACCTCTATTTGATTTTGTTTTACCATGTGCATTAAATTCTAATCTTTTCTCATTTGGTGGTTGTTGCATACTGATAACACTTTTTGAGTTTTGTTATTATCTTCTCTCAAAAGATCATTTACTTTTGTTTAATTTATTCTCTGAGTCTTTGGTAAAAGATCACTTAATATAGAAGCCTTGGACATTAATTCAGGTTGTATATTTAAAGATTTTGAAAGATAAGCCACCATTTGCCGTACATGTTGTCAAAAATGAATGTCTTTTTTGGATAACTTTTATTTAGATTTGATTGATTTATACTGCTTTGAATTGGTAGACAAAGTTGTTTTCATTTTGGAACTGCATTCCACTTGGCATTAGGTTATCTGAAGCATGGTAGTAAGTATCGGATGTATCGCGATTCGTATCATACGATACGATACGATTCCAAGGTTCCGCGATACGAATCGCAAGTCGTCTCCTTTTTGATCAAGAATTGCATGTGAATCGTGCGTATCGTTGCGTGAATCGGAAAATCGCGATTCTGGACGAAATCGCACGATTTCAAAACAGCGGGTTGCGCCTCGAAACCGGGTCGGGTCACACGTGATCTGATTCTGGAAACCCAAAAAAAAAGTTTTTTTTAGAAAAAAAATGCAGAAAAGAGAGGGAAAGTGTCGATCCTCCGTCGATCTGTCTTCTTCTCTGACGAATCTCCGTCGATTTGTCTTCTCTGACGGATCTCCGTTGATCTGTCTTCTCTGACAGCGGCTCTGTCTTCTCTGGCGGTGGCTGCGGTGGCTCTGTCTTCTCCCGCATCTGCAACCTGTCTTCTTCTAAGAAAAGTTGGGCCAAATGGGCCAAATTTTATTTTATCTTTTGATTTGGCCTTCACTATTTTTTTAGAAGGTAATTTCTCTTTATTATTAATTATTATTATAATTCAGATAATATTTTAAGTAATAAAAAATTTAATATAAAACCTTAAATATTTTGTTTTCTTAATTTTTTTTTATTTTGTTTAACTACCATGATCTGAAGTACATGTTGAATCAAAAAGGTTGGTTTTTCAATATTAACAATCCAAGCTTCTCATTCATGGGAATTTGTTAAAGGGATATGCTACGTCTAGGTCTATACTTTTCATGCACTTGATTTCTCTTTCTGTCAAGAATAACATTTTTATTCTTTTATTACTAGTAACTTTTCAAGTTTTCTTTTTAACTTATTTAATATTAAGTATTAATTATAATTTATAAGAATATGATTACTTAGAGGGATATTTTTTGAATGAAGGTTAATTTGTTTATTTTTTTCAAATGTATTTAGACACAAGAAACTGTGTCCTGAAGTTGGTAGCAAGGATTTAATCTACTTATTTTGTGATACATATAGGTGAATATTACTTTTTGTACTAATATTTTTATGAAAAAAGAAAAATAAATTATTAAAAATAATGAACTACAAAGAGAAGAGAGGATAAGGAGTCATTCTTAACTAAATAACAAAACAAAAAAACAACGAAGAAAACCAAAAATGAGGGAAGCAAAGCTGCTCCCTCCAATCCCTCAACTTATCTGTTAGGGAAACCTCATTAAAAAGTGCATTCTTCTGTCCAAATAGAGGTCAAATGTCTGATCTTTTCCTAAATCTATTTTTGTCAGTTTTGTCACAGAAGTCTCTTTAAAAAATACAAGTTATTGGTGGTATTTGAATGAAATCACTTTGTTTCTCTATTATGACAGGCAGAAAGAAGGAGGAGACTTGGATTGCCTCCAGAGGAACCTTCAGCAGCCAAACCATCTCCCGTTGTGGAGGAGAAAAAGGTGTGATCTTGGCCAAAAATAGTATCATTTTTTTTTGAGGTCCATGTTTATTTGAAATTTTTGTGCATGTAGAGTTTTGTGCCTGTTAGGCCTGCCACAAAAGCTGAGCAAATGAGAGAGTGCCTCCGTTCTCTCAAGCAGAACCACAAGGTACACTCTTGGGTAATCCTGGGACTTGTCTAGTCAACAGTATTAATTAATGTTTGATAGTTGTTGATGAATTGGTATCCATTGAAAATCTGTTAGTGAGTAGCATTAGAGTTGATGCTAAATAATATTTTTTTCAGAGCAAATTATGCAGTGCTTTACATCCATTATTTTTATCTATTGCATAACCTTTTTTATGTTCACGAGTCCCAACTGACCTACCTCGGCTTTTGAATAATGTTTACTTTTATCTACTTAAATGTTTCCCTTTTTAGAGAGGGTGGAATATTTTTTGGATAGAAATCAGTGATGTACATCTGGGGATGTGCTTCTGACAAATATTAGTGCACTTTAATAGCATCATTAATGAATCCACTAGTGGTGATATCTCTGATGCCAATTTTAGCTTCATATATCATCTTTATGCTTCTCAAAGAAGAGGATTTGGTTGATTGTCATGCAAAAAATATTGTGTTCTTCTTGAGATGGTGTCAAATTGGTGGGTATACTTGCAAATTGTCATGATTGTAATTGACTAATGGCATTAGATGGGTTTAAAACTTTACTGAATTGTTGTGGTCATTAATCATACATTGTTACAAAATTATTGATGCTGGAACTTACTAATGAAAATTATGCCTTGTCAGTAGTTCTAGTAAATTTTAATAATTTTTCATGACTAAAAGCTGAAGTGGTAAAATTCATTTTTACAACCAATGTTTAAATGTAATTTTTGTTGATAAAGATGATGTTCCTATACATAAAATTGAGGGTAAATGATCATTGTGGTTTTCCAAAAAGATATATCACATTGATCTTCCATTTATTTAGACACGTAAAATTGGTCTTTCCCATAATAATTACGAACACAATTTGATGGGCCCCCAAAAAAGTGACATTAGGGAGGATTTACGCCATTTGTGTCTTTGAAGAACCAAAGGATGATCAATATGATTTTGCATATTTCTTTGAAGGACCAAAATTTATATTCTCCTAAAAATCATAAACTTTATATGATTTCAATTATTTTCATTTTGGTTTCTAGTGCATTGATTTTGGATGGTCAGAAGAGATGTAAACCATGTGCCATGCAATGTGGAAAAATGAGGCCATTATTTTTTATATACAGTACTGATAACGTTAACTGCATTTTACATTCTGCTAAGCTAAATGAAATTGATTTTACATCACTGCAACGCTTCTCTAATATATATATATATATATATTCTTTTAAACTTAAGTATCTTCTGCATAAATATTGTTACACCTTAACCTATTTACATGTTCAATTATTCTTGGAGCAGGAGGATGACGCCAGAGTAAAGAGAGCATTCCAAACTCTTCTAACGTATGTAGGGAATGTTGCCAGAAATCCCAATGAGGAAAAATTCAGGAAGATACGCCTTACTAACCAGTCTTTTCAGGTAAGAAACTCCCTAAAGACGTGTGTTTGGTTTGTTGAGGGAAATTCAGCTCATGCTATTGATTTGTGTGCTTTGGGATAAACAGCCCGCTACACCCTCCACCCTCCCCCCAAAAAAAAAATTCAATCAGATCAAAATTCCAAAATGGGCCACTATAACACAGTATGGACACTATAACACAGAATTATTGTTGGGACATGTATCGAAAATTTAAAACACTGGGCTTCAGATCAGGAGTTTTGGCATGACATCAGTCTTATTTTAATCATTTATAATGTTCAATTTGTATATAGTCTTTCTCTGAGAACATATCTAGTAAGATGACCTTTTCTTATTTATGAGAAAGTGAGAAGAATAAAAAATATTAATAATGTGAACTTAAAAAGTTACATGACTTTTTTAAGTAATAATCATACGAATTTAAAAACTTTCAATTTTGACCATTTAAATTTATATATTATCGTATTACTAAGATTTATTCATCACACTCTAGTATAAACCTCCCACCCACTAGATATAGCTCCATTTTATCATGTCTGAATGAGTAGACGCTCCTGAATGTTTATTATTAACCTACCACTAGATCGTTTATATACAGTATGTACTGTATATGCCCGTGTTGATGTTCGGTGTGTTTTACAGGAAAGAGTTGGTTCCTTGAAAGGGGGCATTGAATTTCTAGAAATTTGCGGGTTTGAGAAGATCGATGGTGGTGAGTTTTTGTTTTTGCCTAGGGACAAAGTTGAGATGGCGGTACTGAATTCAGCTGGATCTGAACTAGACTCTGCAATAAAGAATCCCTTTTTTGGAGTTCTTTAGACGAGACAACTGTTATTATCAGAGGCTTGACAATTATAGTCTCATTTCAAAGTCGAGTGCTACCTTTTGTTCATTAAACATACTCTGTTGTTTATTTACCTTAGCTGGAAGGTATCTACAGAGACGTTTAACTTGATTGTCATATAAGTTTGAGGTTTATAGAAAGTTGAGTCTTATATCTAATGATAATGCGATCACTCGGCTTACTTATTACGCTTAGGATTTTTGAGTCAGTTTATGCAAAATTTAGAAAGTAAAAATTGAAGTGTTTTGTGCGCGGACATGAAATCTAGGCAAGCGATTGATAGAGGGAAATTTTTTAACGGCTGGAAATTATGATTTCTAGAAATTAATTTTGGAAATCATTTTCTGAAAATAATTAAAATATGTTTTATTGATATAAATGTTGTTAAAAATACTTATATGTTATTTGGATATTAATGTTTTTCTTTTCTACATTAAATAGGTAACCGTGACATTATTTTTATTTTTACTGGGATAAATTTTCATTTAACTTGATTTTCATTTACTCATAAAAATAACTTTGATTTTGGGGAAAACATAAGTAAAAAAAAATATTTTTAGGAAATAATGTTTCTTAGAAATTGTATTTTCTAATTAACAAACTAAATATGAAAAATTAACCTTTTCATCTTTTAAGTTTTAAAAAAGTAAAAACAACCTCTGTACAATTGTACTAAACGTTTTCTAAAATTTTAAGAACCTGGAATTTGAAAGTATAGAAAGAACTTGATTTTTATTGGTGTATTTTATTAATGATCAGTATATTAAGAATTATGACATTGAAATTTATTGTAAAAAGAGCGTAATTTTTTCCCCTTTATTATTAAGATGATTGTAGATTTAAATATATGAAGAAAATATATAAATTCACTAAGGATGTGTTGATGGAAAATTTAAGGTAATTTGAAAATTTAAAATTTTTGAATTATCTTAATTTAATTTTCTTTTATTTATATTTTTTTTTTTGAATAAATCAATACAATTATTTCTAGAGATGTAGTTTGGTGGTGTGATTTACATAAAGTAAGGGATGAATGACTTTATATATTTCAATTTGACTCGTTTAACATGTGAGCCAAACGGTTTATAGTTAGATTAATCTACTAAATCTACTCGGTACTAAATAGTTTAATTTAATACTTTTGTCATTTGAATTATATTTTTATTTGTATTTGTATTTGAATTAAAGAGACTTGATAATAAAAAATGTGACTTTTAAAATGAAGAGTAATTTTTCTTCCTTTTTTTCAATCTTTTACATTTGTTTTATTTTAATTTTTTTTTTAACTAACCTACCTAATTCATGGTGAGTGATGTAGGGTTAAAATTTTGTGATTTATCAGTTGAGTTAGACTAATCTATTTAAAATTCCGATATACGGTGAACCATTTTAGATGAGTGAATTAGCTCACTTTATCTCCTGTGTGCAGTGGTTTTTTGTCCCATGATGTTGGTTGGCACGTAACCGTGGGATGTTGAGGCTTGATATGGGTTGTAAGGGATTGGAGCTTCATCCTGGTCTCCACCACATATATTCCTCTGATTCTAAATACACTCCCTTTTTGTTTAAATCGCTTTAAATAATATATAACTTTTGTTTTAGTTTCTCTAAATATACTTTATTTTATGTTTTAGCTCCTATCTTTACTATACTTTTATTTTAGTCCCTCTAAGTATACTTGTTTATGAGGCTTATAAACAAAAAACCTGTGATATCTTGCTAATGTTATATGAGGAGAGATAGAAGTTTCTACCAACTTGTGCAAACTAAGGTTGGTTATTTCTTTATATTTAAGTTCATTCATTCTGTTAGTTTATATACTAACCCTGAGTTAATATTCCTTCTGTTTTAAATTAATTGTAATTTTAAGGTTTTTTACACATAAGTTATGGATAATAATAAATATGTAGTTAAAATATTTTTTAGTCTATATTTTACCTTTTAGTTTTTATAGTTTAAAATAAATTTTTTAGTTTTTATACTTAATTTTTTTTATAATTTAATATAGATTTTTTAAAAATATTATATTTATAATTTTTTAATCTTTTAATCTCTATCAATAATTTTTAATAACATTATTTATTTTGTGTTAACATGATAAATGTCTTCAATTTTGTGAAAGGAAGAAAATTGTATTTCAACAATGAATGATATAAGTGAAAGTACAAAATAAAAAAACATGAATTGTTGAAAAACTTATTTTAAAATAATTTTAACAAAATAAATTTCACATCAATCATATAAAATTAAATTAATATATCTATCACATCAATATAAAAGAGATAACATTAAAAAAAGTTAATGATAAAATAATTGAAACTATAAAAACTAAAAAAAATATTTGAGTCTAAGTATATTATTTTATAATGTAATTTTATTAAAATAATTTTCCTTTTTCAATGAATATTTAATTTTTCTTTTATGATAATTAAATAATTTAGGAGAATATAAATGATGAAAAATACTTAATCTCACGTAACTTAAATTATTTTGAAGTGAAACTATTGAAGTAGGGAGGAGAGTATATAGGAAGAGAAGTTAGGAAGGAAGGTTGGATTCTGATGGATCCTATTCCTGGTTGCACAGACAGACATTAACGTTATAACTTAGAAACACGAGAGATGTTGATGTCGATGTTGATGTTGATGTTCTCATAAAAAGAAAAAGCGAAAGCGTCTTCTATTCCATCTCCATAATATATTTTCCCTTCTCTCTCTCTTTACACCTTTACCAACTAAGCACAACAAAACTCCCTCATATAACTTTCTCCATATGGCACCACTTCCTCTGCTCCTACTAACCATCGCACTCGCCACCCAGAGTGCGAGTGCGAGTGCGAGTGCGAGTGCGGTGGCTCAAGGAGGTGGCACCGCCACTTGGTGCGTGGCCAGGAGTGACGCCACCACCGACGCACTGCAAACGGCGTTGGACTACGCCTGTGGCGCTGGTGCTGATTGCTTTCCTCTTCAGCCGGAGGGACTCTGTTTTCTTCCCAACACCATTCAAGCGCACGCTTCTTATGCCTTCAACAGTTACTATCAGCGCAGAGCTAGAGCTCCTGGCTCCTGTGACTTTGCTGGCACCGCCACCATTGCCACTAGTGATCCCAGTATGAAACTTCAAATATCATATTATTATCTTTCCATTTTTATTTTTATCTATTTATTTTTTGCTGCTTTTCTTTTGGTCTGTGTACTGTGTAGGCTATGGATCTTGTGTGTATCCATCTACAGCAAGGTATGCTTTTACTTTCTTACTAATATTATTATTATTACATATAGTGTGTGCATTTTCAATTGGCGAAAGTGAAACGGTTTGTGTTTCTTGATCATGAAGTAAATGGATTCTCATTCTCATTCTCACTATTTTTTTTGCCTTTCCTTCTCTTTCGTACCTTTTCATTTGTCTGCTTCAGTGGCGTGCCTAATACGGTGGTACAGAAGATCTAAGAGAGAAAGAAGTGTTTGTTTGAATGGGAGAGAGGGGTTATTTGAGAAGATTTACCCATGTGTTACTCAAGTTTTTTAAACTTGTCAATTATTATTTATTACTACCATTTTTGGTAAGAAAAATGACTTTAGTTTAATTTTTCAAAAATAACCAAAATTAAGTCTATAAATATCCCTTCGGTCTATCAATTTTACAGATGGTTTCAAGTATAGTATTTTAAGCTTTAAATTAAGTATACCATAATCAAATTCTTCTGCCAGCAAATTAGTGTGTTTGGGTGGGTGTTGGAAATATGCATGTACCTTTATTTTGGCATAAAAAATGAGCGTATATCCTCTTTTTGGGCATAGAAACTTAGAACATTCACTTCACCAGCTTCCATATGAACGTGGATCCAATTTCAAAACACGGAATTTGTGTTCTTTGCGTCTGATTCTTCTTTCTTCAAATATTCAAATATTCAAAATCTTGGGTTGCACAAATTGGGTGAGTGCAGTGGTGCACTATTTTACTGACACACTGTATGCTCTCGTCCAGTGTGTTGGTTACTTTTTCTGTACTTTGCGATTGGACCGTTGGATGAGTCTGCGTGACCCACTTCCTCCAACGGCTCAGATTAGCGTGATCGTACGGTGTTGATCTTATGAATCATACATAATGTGTTATATTTGCTTTAAAGCGTGGTGAGGTAAAGTGAGAAAACAGTGTAGCAGTAATTGATGCTTACGTTTATGTCAGCCGTTGTTTTCTACCATTAATAAATAATCTGTGGAAAATGCCGTACCCAGCTTCTTCAGATGTTCTTTCTCAATCCTGAAATTGACCCATCCATGATTCTTTACACATTTGCATATACGTGTGACCATTGTTAGATGCGCACTTTGCATCATCTATCACTTCATTCACATTTCATCTTTCTTTCATTTATTCATTTTATATGCAAGTATAGCATCCATTTGCATATGATATAAATGAAAATGACCTTTTGCTTCATTAATGGATGTGATACCTATTCATGGATACTCAATTGGAAAAAACGAATCCTTATTTGAAATAATTCATTGTAGAAATTTACATGTACTTTTTAATCACGTAAAATTAAGCCCATCAAAATTTAACTCAGTGATTCGTAAAATGAAAGAAAGACAAAAAGGGAAGATACAGAGTACATAGGAGAAGTATTTGACATGACTCTTTCTTTAGTATCTTATTGAAGATATGGTTTGGTAGCAGGGTGACTTACATTACATGAAAGGAATTTTTATATGGATAATTACAGTTAGGTACAAAGTAATAACGGCTGGTTTACTTTTTGAATGTTCATTTGTTTTTCGAGTGTAATTAATTAATGTACTAAAAAAGTTATGCATCAAGACAGAGCAATAAGGGAGAGAACCATGCATGTTGTACAACAGTAGGGTAGCATATAAAGATGCTGGTTGTGTTCAAATCATTGCTTGGAATGTGTTTGACCTCTTTTGATTTCTTATGCCTCAACATGTTAGAAAATTGTTGGTATATAGACCAGGGACAATGATGGGGCCATGCTGATCGAGTTCTAGGCTTATTTTGCCCTCCCACGTGTCATCATGACCCTTTATTGATGGGGCCATGCTGATCGAGTTCTAGGCTTATTTTGCCCTCCCATGTGTCATCATGACCTTTACTGTTTGTTGAGGAATCACACCCACATGGTTATTACAATATAAAAGTTCAATGTGTTACAACTTTTCCTTCACGTGGTTAGTTGAATTTAGGGTGTGAAAAAAAATAATCATATCAATTTTTTAAATGAATTGAATCAATTCACTTAGATAAATAAAGGTTGATTAATCGATCAATTTTTAATAAATAGATAGATTCAGTTTGGTTTGAATCCTTAAAAATTCAATCCATGACCGGCTCTAGTTGAATTGTAGCACCATGAAGAGCTCTAAATCAGTTTTTGGAAAGTGGTTTGTGTTAAGCCATGAGAATGCTTTTCATTGATCACTTAAATTATAGTTAGTACTTTACTTTACGGAGTTAATTATTTGATTTCCTATCATGTTCAGTGCTGCTGGAGGACCAAATACACCAACCACAACACCTCCAATGAACAATCCAAATGTGCCATCATCTACCACAACAACACCGATCTATGGTGGGGGCAATCCTGGTGGACTAACTCCTGGAATGAGCACTACTCCATTCACTGACAATTCAAGAGCACCTTCAGAAGCAATAGATACATGGTTTTTGATGATCTTTTCCTCTCTTATTATATTCATTATTATCTCTTAGCCTATGTGTGATCTTTGGGGAGGCTTACAGTTTTGTCAGAAGTTAAAGAGAGCCTTTTGTTGTTTATAACCTTAATTTATGCAACTACTTCTCATACCCTACTATTTTAATGTACAAGGTTATGAACAAGTTAAGCATGACAACATAACATGGTTTATTCAGGAAAGAGCAGAGCTAGGTTGTAGCAAGGCCTTTGCTGATGTCATTCTTGATTTATAGGGCTCAAATTCAATTCAATACTTCAATTTAATTGTTCCCTTTGCAAACATTGTTATGTTTCACAATAGTGCAATATTGATTAGTTTGTGAAAGGATTTTATTTTAGTGTTTCTCCATGTCATTTTCTTTTTTGCCAAATACTTATGCTAAGTGAATTCTGAATACAGACACTCTTAGACCTGAAATTACAATTTGGATCCCAAATCAGAATAAAAAATCTGTACAATGCCTTACAATTAATAATAATAATATTAATAATAAAAGAGGATATTTGTTCTTGTCAACACGGATTGTTGACTGGAATGTCAAACTTTTAGTCTGGATTCAATTCAACAATACTGAAACAGTTGGTGGCTGGAGCAAATTTATTTTATATAAGTCAAGAAAACAAAGGGACTTTATAACTATTGCAAAAATGCTCTATTGAATTTTATTATAAGTCACTTTTAATTGAATCATACAAATTAATATAAATAATTATGTTAGTTTATTTTATTAAATTTATTAAAAAATTATAATTTATCTATTTTATCCTTTTTAACATTAAATTTTAGTGAAGAAATTATTCCATATAAAACTTTATCTATTATATTAAGAAAAATAATAATAATAATTCAAGAATTTAAGAGGTGTGAGAACAATATTCTTACAATTTTTATTAAAGACCAAAATGAAAATTAAAACTAATGCTTTATAAAAACGATAAAGTGCTTTTTTGAATTTATATATAATAAAGAGTAAATTACAATAGTATATGTGTTTTTTTTCGTATATTATATTCAATACACTTCCATTATTTAGAATTATTTAGATTTATAGGGAAATCTCATAAAAATTGAAAAGATATTATATTTATATCTTGTGTTTTTTTATGCGTGTATTCAATATTCTTCCATTATTAGATCTATAGTAGATCTTTTAAAAGTTGAAAAAGATATTAGACCTGTATTCATGTATTTTTTATTTTAGATTGTACCCAATATTCCTATGTGAGTGTAATTTACTAAAAATAAATAAATTATTCACACTATCAATAATAATTATTCTCTTATTTTATAACCATTTTTTACATTTAATTTTGTTTAAGACTATCTTAATCTTTATTAATTATGTATTATATTATTTTTTAAAAACAAAATATATAGAGATATGAAGTATTTCGATTTCACTATTATTTTTAAACAAAACACATTTATTATTAAGTGTTAAAATAAAGAAAAAGTGTAACTATTGAATATCTAAATTCTTTCCTTCATTCATTGATTATTATAAATTTATTTATTATATTTATGAAATGGCGTAAATATATATTTTTAATTTTTATAAAATGAGTATATTTTGATTTTAATCCTTGTTTTTTTTTTATTTTTTCCCTCTAACATTTATAATTATTGTTTTTGGTCATCAATATTGTCTAATCAATTTTAATAACTTATTTGTTAAGGGGTCTCACTATAGATCCAAATAATAGAGAAGTATTGGGTGTAATCTAAAAAATTATAGGTGTAAATGTAATATTTTTTCATTTTTTAAAGGGTCTCATAGTAGATCCAAATAATAGAAAAGTATCAAGTACAATCTCAAAAAGCACAAAAAGTACAAGTGAAGTTTACTCTAAGAAAAAATAACAAACACAAATTAAGAAAGTTCTTAAATACATTCAATTTTTTTACAATTTTACATAAAATACGCACTACATTTCTTAAAATATCTTTAATTACATTCATAAAAGATAGTACTTTCTTTTATTACCTTAAGAATATTTTTGAATTAAGAACGTTAAAAAAAAAGTTGATTTATTAAAATTCTTATAATTTAGTCTAAAATTTTTAAATGTCAGTCCAAAAGAAATATTACCATTTTTTTTTAAATTATCTTACAATAAGGACCGAAAGAAATAATTATTACGTAATGCATTTTTAGTAGCAAGTTGTTAGTGTATGATATCGTTACCGGTAAGAAACATTAATACTAATGTAAATTAATTGTTTTGTTTATTCATTATATTCAGTTTCATTTTTTTTATACTTGAAAAAGTCCAGTGAAAACTACTCTTTTTAATTATTTAAAACTGTTTCATATGTTATGTTGACCGATCGACTTGCATTTTGATAAATATGTTAACAATATATTTTGTATACTTATATTCTTAAATAATTTTGATTATTTATATATTTATTACAAAAAAATAGAAATTTTATTTAAAAAATAATTTTCCAAATAAAAAAAAAACTGACAAACAATGCAATAATATATTAATTTATATCAAGTAATATTATATTTTTTATAACATGTCATTGACGTTCAATATGGTGAAATTAGGAGTGTCTTCTTGTTTTACTATTTTTTTTTTTACAAAAGAAAAAATCTTTTAATCTTTACCAACTTAACTGAACCATAATTGTGGTATACTATTTCTTTCAATTAAATGATACTTATTGTTAGATTGAAATTCATTTTACATGAATTATATTACGTATACAAAACATTATTTCAATTCAAAATTATTCATTACCTCATTCCTATAGCATAATGTATATATGTGTGTGTCTCATATAATTTATTTTCTTAAATCAAAATAAAGAACTTATTAAAATTAATAAGCTAAAACATATATTATTTTTATAAATTATTGGAACCACTTACAAATATTTGATTCATGAAATATAAGAGCTAAAGAGGTTAGACAACATAATTTATTTTGCTATTGAGGTTAAGTGGTGCCTATGCCAAGTTGGTCAGATCTTGTAACTTGGATGTTGAATAAGGTGGGTAGACACAACTTCCGAAACCTATACACAAGTATAGAAAGAAAGAAGAGAATGTTAATAAATGATTTAGACATATAAAAGAGAAGAGAAGATGATACATAATTCATAGAACATAATACATAATACATAGTAACATAATACATACTAGGATCTGTTACTGCAATGGTTGCTGCACCACCAAAATTACAGGAACCAGGAGCTTTTCCCTGTCTCTCATAGTAACTGTCGAAAGCATAAGAAGCATGGATTGAAGCAACTTCCACCGGGCCTGATAGGCCCACAGTCAGCTCCATGTGAACATGCATATATAGTCCAAGCCCGCTTTCAGTGCTGCGTTGCTAGCATCACTACGTGCCACACACCATGTTCCTTCCACATTTTCCCCTACTATTATGCTTAATAGCACAACAAAATACACCAACTTTGATGCTTCCATTTCTACAATGAAACCTTATGATTTCCTTAGTTGGGGTGAAGAAATCTTTTTGACCAACCACATCAATTTATAGTAAAAGTCTAGACACCATCCCAACACAATCAACCATAAAATTTAGTATAAATATAAAGAAACATCAATATTTTAACATAATGTATGTTACAAATATTTATTTATGGAGTTGATCTCTCACAAAAAATTTAGTCAGGAATACAGTGCATGATCAGGTACTTAAAAAATAAAGTTATTTAATTGTGTTAACTTTTATACAAGAAACAATATTATTTTTACTATAGATATGTTACATTTCTTTTTAATCTCATTTAAAATTTATAATCTATTAAAATAATTTTAATTTTTAGTATTATTATTTTCCTACATTGTTAACTAACTCTCTCATATTGTGTTACTTATGGATATATCGATATTTTTTATTTAATTTTAAATGATTTGTTAATGATAAATTAAAGTTGTTTAATTTTAAAAATTAATTAGAATAAATTTATAATAAAAAATTTGAAAATATTAAAATTATAAAAATTATAAGATTGAGGTACTTCATGTTTCTATTAAAAATAAAATAATAAAAAAAAGTAATAAATGTATGTCGATATAATATTATGATTAATACATTAATTTCAAAGTTTTGATTTTGATTAAAAAAAATATTTTTTTTAAATGAAAGGATACATTTTTATAAGATAATTATTAAAAAAAATATCCCATTTATGTATTAGTATAAATTAAAAATGGATTTAAACGAATTTTAAATGCAACTTATCGAATCATATTTTTCATTAAACTATTAATAATCAGGTTATGTGATTTTTTTAGTTTATTAAATTTGTGCAATATGACAACATGGGTTCTCGAGTCATAAACAGAACGTGCTATATTACATTATTTCAAAATTTATAATTTAATTTATTCCTTTTAATTTCTTTATTCAATGTTCATAATTTACATTATCCCATATCAATTTTTGAAAACCCCTAAAAAAATCTTTTTTTTTCTTCTTTTTCTTTCAAGTTATCTGTTGAGTTAATTTTCGTTCACGATTGAGCGTGAAAATCAATTCACGTAGAATGTTTTCAATTTTTCTCTCAAAAAAGATAAATGTTTTAGTGATATCGATTTTTTTTTTACGCCATAGTAATCTCGACTATGAATACTACCTATACAATTTTGCACTTCAATTTCACTTCTTTCTTAATAACTAAAATAAATTAACTTACATTGTTTTTCTTGCATCATTGTTAAATAAGCTTTAACTATTTTTTTAATACTTAAGTCTCCTTATAACTGTCATTCTTTATTTTTTAAAACCGTTTCGTCTGTATTATGGTCAACTCTTCGATCTTGAATTTTGGTTGAATGAAATTATGAGAGAAATATTCTATATAATTAGATTTTTATGTAAAAATAATTTATTTAGATAATTATATTTTTACTCTTTATTAACTCTTTTTAAATATATATTTAGACCAAAGATAACAAATAAACTCGTATCTATGAGTAATGTTAAAACTTGTTTCTACTTTGATAGAAATATCTAGTTTGACCAAACACGAGTACAAGTAATAATCGACTTATTAAATCGAAAATGTGGATGGGGATTAATATATATATATATTTACTTGTCTTGTACTCGTAATCGTTCGCGTTTCCATCCCCTTTAAATTTCTATAAACTCAATTTACTTTATTTAGAATTTACTTGAGATTTATGTATTTCTTACTCTATTTTAAATTTATGTTAAATAAAATTTAATTAATAAAATTTTGTAATTGCTACTCTATATTGGAATTATTTTTTTTTCTTGTA